AAAATAAGGAAAAAAAAGAAAAAAAAAAAAAGGAAAAAAAAGGAAAAAAAAAAAGAAAAAAAAAAGAAAGAAAGAAAGAATAGGTATTTGGCAGTAGGTAAAGGAGACGACGAGGGGGTCGAGGACGGCAGCCAGATGGCGTTAAGGAGACGCTCAGAAAACGGCCGGGCCAGCGGTTTCGGTCGGCGGAAGCTCAGGTTTGGTCTGGTTGTTTAAACGAATTCAATACTGCCACGCACATGCGACACGGAAACAGGTCGACTGATAGGTAATATAGACAGACAAGATATCAACGATCATCCGGTGGTAGTCGAGGCAGAGGCGGAGAGAGGTGCAGCAGCGCCAGGCATGTGAGTGTCGAGTCTGGTCTGGTGTCAAATCGAAATTGGGTCCAGTGATGCCAGGCAGCCTGCAGTCTGGTGACCGTTCCGCCCCCCGAAGTGGTAAGCATGACGCCCCACGACGGGGTCCAAGGGAGGGAAGACACCTGGAAAGGGCGGGAGGTGCGACAAGGCGACGCGGCGACGCGGCGTGTGGGGAACGGTGGGTGTCATTAATGAGCAGCAGAGGCACACCAGAGGCACACCAGAGGCACACCAGACCAGACGGAAACCGTCATCTGCATGCCAGAGTAAGGACACGAGTCGAGTCGAGTCGAGCGTAGCGTAGGTAGCATGTAACCTCGATCTTGACACGCGGGTAAAATAGCGGCTGGCTGAATCCGGGGGAACTGTGAATATTTTCGGACCAGGTGAACGGGAACGACGTTGTCATTTCGAGCGTCGGCGCAAGCGGGATTTCATCTCGACTTCATATTCCATGTATCGAGCGGGAAATCACCTTGAACAACGGGGATAGCATGCTTAGTGGCCGTGCATGGTACATTCATTAATAAAAGGACAAAAACTGGGTACAAACTTGGAAATGGAAAGGGAGATGCGGAATGCCGATGACTGGCTGGGAGCGATGCTCACGGTTTTCTTGGTGGCCCCGTTGTGGCTTCAATCAAGGCGTCTGGGGTGGGAGGATGGCAATTTGGTGGGTTATTTTGGCGGAGAGCTAAGGAAGGAGCTAGGGAGGGAGGGGATATCTTGACAATAAAACGTGGCCCCTTCTTGCAACGCAGGGCGATTGACGGCTGGACTTTGAACATGGGACTCTGGTCGTGGGAAAGAAAAAGGCAAAGAAAACATTGTGCGCGTAAAAATGAAAGAAAAGAAAACAGAAGTACCAGAGGAAAAAAAAAAAAGAAAACCAAGATGAATAAAGCTAAAGAATAAAAATGAGGCTCGTACCAGATTCGAACTGGTGCTTCTGGAATTTCTCAGTCAAAATCCAGCGTCCTGACCCCTAGACGAACGAGCCTTTGTGGGTCTGATGTTTGTTGGTGGCTGGTAAGATAAATTACACTATATACTCCAAAAATACGGACCCACCTCTACGTTATTCTTTCCTTGGAACACCGGGATCATGAATTGACCAGGCCGAGTTGCAATTTATTCACAGATTCGGACCTGGGTTTTATAAAAACCTGATATTCAAGAAGAAAATAAAAAGAGATAAAAAAGTATATAAGTACAAGAAAAAAAAAAAGAAAAAAAAAAGCAAGAATATAAGGTGTATTGGTTTATTATCTTCTTATATTTATTTAAAATTTTATACATTCATTCACTATATTTGCAACCCTTGTTTGGTCAGAAGTATTCCGCGTCCTACTGTACGTATCTCTGGTTTGTTTGGACATTCACCTTTCCGCTACCCCCTCTGGCTTCGTGGTCGGTCCGGCCGGTCCGGCCATTACTTGTGCCCAGGGGGGCTGACAGAACATTGGATAGATCATAGGACCAAACAGCACTGCATCGCAGGCCGCGGGATTGCAATTGAGGTCCATCAATTCTAGCAGTAGATGCCCATAATGTCAAGAATCGACATGCCGACGTCTTAGCCGCAGTGACGTCTGCCGTAGTTGAGCCAGGAATTCGTCCAATCCACCGTAATCAGTCTTGAGGAAGAAACGGGAAACCTTCTGGGCCTGGGGTATTCAACTCTCTCTCCTAAACTCCACAACGCAACAACTCCCTTCCCCTCTAAGCTCTTTTATTGCCCAACTTTCGTATCCGTGTGGGTAGCCAACTCTGACACGAGAGCCGTCGATATATGGGGCATGCTGCCTGCGCCGCTGGCGGTTGAGCTCATGCTCAAACGCTTTGTGTCGGCCGGACATGGACTGAGATGGCCCTGCGACGACCCGGGATCCGAACAGGATACAGACTGTCGGTAGTCGAGTGCGAAGTCCTGAGGCTGACTGGCGAGAGGCTGTGGTTGGCTACGATAGTATTGGTAATGCTGAGAGTCACCCGGGAGTTCGACGGGAGCAGCCATCTCCTTGCCACGGTCAAAGCCGTGTTGCGCCTGTGCTTGATGCAGCTGACAATTCTGCCGTGTGGGCGACTCGGGCGACTCGGGCGACTCGGGCGTCTGGTACGGGCCAACGCATGATGAACGCTGCGCCCAACTTGCAGGCCGAGGGCTATGGACGGGACTGGGGTTGTAACAACCAGCACTGTTTCTGTTTCCGTTGCGGGCGGACTGGGACAAATCATTCGGATTGATGGTCTTGAGCTTGCCGTCCAGCATCATGGCCTGCAGGATGCCGGCATCGAGCAGTTCTGCCTTTTTCACGATGCGCTCCACCATTTGCCTGTTGGCGGCCTTGGCCTGCGACTTGACGAAGCCGGCCATGGCGATGTTGCACTTGAACGCAATGTCTTGGCGCAGATACAGTCCGTCGGCCGGGGCGCCCAGGGATTGCAGTCCAATCTCGCGCCGTTCGGGGGACTCGATGCCGGGCTGGTTCCCGGCGATCTGGTACCTGTACCGCAAATCGATGTTGAAGGGGGCGTAGATGTGCGTCTGCAGCCCCCAGGGCATATCGTGGAAGCATCCGTTGAAGGTGATTTTGCTGGCGCCCATGTTGCCGACGCCCGGGACCAGCTGGATTTTTTCCGTAATCCGGTACCACGTGCTGTAGAACTCATCCGAGGCAGCGTCTCGGGGGGCGGGGATCGGCTTGTGGTCGAGGACGAGGGGATTGAGGGTGATGACTTCGCTGTGAGAGTGGAGGATGTCGAGGGCGAGTTGGCGCGGGATGAAGCTGGGGATGGGCGTGATGACGGTCAAGGTCTCTTTTTTGCGCAGCATGTTGGGACGAGGCAGTCGACGGGTGACACGAATGAGCACGAAGCAAAGGTTATCTGGGGCGACTTTTGCGAAGCCGAATGACGAAAGGACGAAAGGACGACAAGGACGACAAGGACGACAAGGACGACAAGGACGACAAGGACGACAAGGACGACAAGGAAGCGCGCGGCGACGGCGCATCGGAAGAGGGGGAGGGGGCACTCATTGATAAAAGGGTACCACGGTTCGATTGCTTTGACTGCATTTCTTGTGATTCCGAATCCCAGCCATGATGATTCGGAAAGCCGGCAGTGCACCTGGCGCGAGGGGGATGAGGCTGAGCCACCACTTGTACTTTGTACTTGCGACGCCCACATTTCATTTTATCATCCATCGTCAAGCAGCTTTGCCAGCTTTGCCAGCTGCCAGACCTCCTTCTTGCCCCGCCACGCCAAAATGTTCAGCCAGCAAGCCTCAAGCCTCAAGCCTCAAGCCTCAAGCTCACACCGCTTATTCCATGTTTGTTTGGGCGCCAGCACAATGGAAACAAGTCAAGCCCGGTGTGCCTACCCATGGGCATATGGCATGTGTCTCGGGCCACGAGAATGTGGCCACTGCGAGCCATTTCTGACGAGATGTGTTCTTTATGCGGGAAGTGGTCGTGGTGGTGCGAAAAAGGCACATTTTTTTTGGTGGACGTTGCAAAAAATGGATAGAAAAGAAGGAAAAAAAAAAGGAAAAAACAAACAAATAAACAAACAAATAAACAAAAAAAAAAAAAAAAAAAAAAAAAAAAAAAAAAAAAAAAAAAAAAAAAAAAAAAAAAAAAAAAAAAAAAAAAAAAAAAAACCAGGAAGAGAAAAAAGAAAGAAAAGTTTATTTGTTTGTTTATTTGTTTGTTTTTTCCTTTT